TATATATATATATATATATATATATATGCAGGTGTGTATGTGTATGTACGTTGGGTGTATATGTGTGTGGGATAGGTCTGTGCGTCTGTCTGCGTTTGTGTGTGTGGCACGTATATGTCTGTATATCTGTCTGTATTTGTGTGGGTGTGTAGGTCTGTGTGTCTGTCTGTATTCGTGCAATATATTGTAGATCCGAACTTCTCTGTTGTCTTCATAATGACACAACTTAAAGTTATCAAAAGTTGAAAACCGGAGCCATGAAATAGTCTAGGATTTGAAAGCAAATTTTTGTGTTGGAACGAAGTAAAGCCTCGGAACCGTTTAGCAGTGCCTCGGAACCGTTTAGCAGTGCCTCAGAACCGTTTAGCAGTGCCTCAGAACCGTTTAGCAGTGCCTCAGGATCGCTTAGCAGTGCCTCAGGATTGTTTAACAGTGCTTCAGGACTGTTTAGCAATGGCCCAGGATCGTTTAGCAGTGCCTCAAGACCATTTAACTGTCTTCTGAAGTTTGCGCAGTATGTTTATTAGGCAAAAACGAATGATAGTTCTCAAATTTACAAAATTAAAATCTATTAGATTTTATCCTTCGCATGTAAAGTACTGTGAGATGATAATTATAGCTTATTTAGTCATAAGCTAGCCTAAATTGATTACCAATCGAGCGATATTGTCCCAGGTTTTATATGAATTTTTTGTACAATGTAACATTTGAGGTTACTCTCTTCCTGAACCTTTACCGTACACTATTCATTACACACATAAGAGAGGACAGCTATGTCATCAGTGGTATAGCAAAAGTCTATAACCGTACAGGAATAATGACAATCATTCTTCTAGCAGTTTATTTTAAGTCTTTTGAAATGCAATAAAGTTTATTTATTTAAGCATAAACAGGTGTGATCCAGGTAAAGATATTAATTATATCGTAATAAAATGGAGAAAAATATTGGAATCCTGAAAATGTCAAATAGAACTTTTCAGTTTACTTTTCTGATTGTTCTTGTTGATCGTTGAAAAATACTTCGAAACGGTAAACAATATTTTTGGAATTAAGTAGTTTTTCAACTTAAAAAAAAGATTAACTAGCACAATACAATATTCTGTTTCGCTTCCTGATTTCATTCCACATATTTAATTTAATACTATTTTTTACTAAGAACCTGAAAAAGTTTCCGGAAATTTTTCAACAGGAATTATCTGTTCATTCGTTACTATGATTTCAGTGATCTGGTATAAGTTTCATTTTGTAGATAAATAAATAAAATCAGTTTCTTTCATGAAAGCATCATTATTCCTATTTACCGGTATTTGAGTTGATATCTTATCATAGAAGTCGTAAAGGCTTTTAGATTGGGGTAAATTTACGAATGTATTTTCTCTTCTACAATTAAATTCGGTAATTGAATTATAGTATTCCGGAAAGATGCATTCTTTACTACATTGCGAATTTGGACCGAATTGTTGATTAACAGTTGATGATTTTGATTTCCTGATTTGATCATTGATCAGAGTTATTCTCGAATATGAGAAAAGTATCAGTATAATAATTGCAGTTAAGAAAGTTAATGTGGAGCAAAGGATAATAAGAGTTTGTTTAACATCTTCTAGCGTCACCTCTACAGTATCCTGAAATTAATTTCTTTACATTACAATACTTAGACGTAGAATGCCTTGAACATAGCAAATGAACTGCAATTATTTCTGATATCTATTGTATTTTTTGATTTTTTTCAGCGAATTTTTTGAATTATCTTTTAAGTATTTCAAAAATTTGAAATGGCAAATTTCAAATTTTAGAAATTTTTGAAGTATTGAATAAATTTATGATGTCGATTAGTTTCAGTAATGTATAATATGTATTCTTATGCCACTTACTTCTTTTTCCGCTTTTGTAATCATATGAAAATGCTTACCAAAGATGAAATGCTAATGTTGCGCAATTCATCCGGAGTGGCGCAAATAACATCATGAATTGATCGTAAACGTAAAACATCCGGTAAGAAAGTCAATAATTTATAATCACAATGAAATGGATTACCATATAAATGTAACTCGGCTACTCTGTAAATACCATTCTGATTCTAAATAAATTTGACCACTACTATCACTACCTATACAATTGCGCATGCGCATAGAATCTATTTAGACATTACTTTCAATGCTATGTATATATATATATATATGTGTGTATGTGTGTGTCTTTATTTTATTTATATTAACATGAATATATGTTGATATCAGCTAAACTAAAAATAATAAGTTGCGCGCAATAGAACTTACCTTTTCCAGTCAAGTAAAGTGGGCGGAAAAGTTTTTAGAGCACAGAAGCGAACATTGAAAATGCGTAAAGCATGGCTAACTTCAAAAGCATTCTCATCAATATATTCCAAGAGATTACTGTAACTTAGATTTAGTACTTCCAAAGATGCTAGACCGAAAAATGCACCGCTCTAAAAAAAAAATTGCACTTTAAATTTATTTATAAATTTTAAAATTCATTTTCTTTTCTCATTTCCGCCAAAAAAAAAAATATGAAGTGTATTTTCATATTTCAAATAGTTTCAATTTTTTTGATATCTATAAATTTTTTTTTTTTTTTGAGCATGATGAATTTAACCTGAATTTCTCGTAGATATTGTTGTTCACTTAATTTGAGTTGTTTTAATCGAAACAATCCATCGAATGATAATGCAGGCAAGATTGAGAATTCATTATCAGTTAAATCCAATTCTAATAGGGATTGAAGTTGTCGAAAGTTATGTGATTCAATTTTTTTTAGCTAAATTATATAAAATAGAAATTGAATTTAGCTATAAAATTGAAAATGATTGTTAAAATTGTTAATTATTAACAAAAATATATATTGATCAAAAAGTTTTTGCATAAATTTCTCATCACCTTGTTAAAGCTAATATTCAAATATTCCAAGTTTATAAGATTATTATGGCCAAAAACAGGAATCTCTCGTAAGAAATTTGCTGATAAATCAATTGTTTTTATTAAATTTAATCCAAAAAATGTATCAGTTGCAATCTGAAATCAGATGGTTTTTTTTTTTTTTACTGATCAATGATCAATTTGAATAGTAAGTACATAAAGACAATTTCATTTGAGATTTCCTACTGAAGTGTTAAAAAGAAGAAAAGTATTGTCTATTTATCATTTTCATTAGACCAATCATTTTTCCTAAAATGTCAACATTGATAAATAAAGGGAGGGAAAGCTGTAAATGTAAATGTCAACGTTGTAATGAGAGGATACTACTACTACTATCCATAATTTAGAACATCACTCGGTATCTCTCGATGATACAACACATCGAAGAGGATTATATTAAAGGAAACATAAGAGGTATCATGATGTTAAATAAGCCTATATAATTATCATTACACTTTGGATTATATACTCGAAGTATTACTCTAATCAAAACTTCCAAGTATAGATCTTATCTATCATTGAGATAACTCAACAATCATTATACAAGAGTTTTTTTTTTTTAAATTTACGAGATTACAAGCAGTTAAATTAAGTAACTGAAATTGATAGAATTAATATAAAATTAGAAATTGTAGTAAATTCATACTGTTGTAATCATATTTTTACTCAAATCAATAGTTCGTAAATTAGGTAATATTCTGGATAGGGGACCATCATTCAGATAAGTAATTTGATTTCCGGCAACTATCAGTTTTTCCAATTTTTTTAAACCAATAAATGTTGCAAATGATAAATTCTGAAGTATGTTATATGATAGATCAAGTTCCAACAATTCCGGCATATGTTTTAGAGCATTCCATTCAATCGTTTGCAATTTACCAGAAGATAAATCGAGAGACTAAAATTGCCGAAGAAATGAAGAATAAAAAGTTCTAGGAAGTTTCAAATTAACGAAGGTATTCTCCGGTAACAATATTGATGAAAAATGAACTGGAAATGTTGATCCGGCATACAACCAAAGAAAGAATTAAATGAGGAAACGGATCGATAATTAATCAAGTATGATGAAAAGTAATCATTGCAGAAATGAAATGTTTCTTTCTCGTAAACTTACTTGCAATCTGTGTAGACCCCGGAAGCTATTGCGGAATACAACCGGAAAATTATTATTGCTCAAATTCAAAATTTCAGTTTTTCCTTGATATCGGAAAACGTTATTTGCAAGCATAGAAATATGATTACTGGATAAATCCAAATGTATTATATCTGAAATTTTAAAATAAGTTAGATTCAAATCAGGAAATGCTTGAACAGAAAAGGAAAAGTTGGTAGAAGGAATTCAAATCAGAAAATAAAAGTCACAAGTTTTAGCAGTTGTTGAATAAATTATTCAAACAATACTGGCCTAATTAGCTAGGCTAGACTGCTTATAGCATAGTGGTACCACAAACCTGGATATAATTCCATGATATCAACATCAAGTTGTTCAATTTGGCATTTTGATAATCTCAACGATTGAATGCCGGGATGTAGCAAAGATGGAAGATATCGTAATTTAACATTGTTGCAATTTGCAGCTAACTGATATTCATTGTCACATGTGCAATTCTGGGGACAAAGACCCAAAATAGAACTGATTGACACTAACAGTAAAGCAATTGTGTGTAGTATGATGATCAATTTAATTCGTTTCATGAGTGAACCGGTTTTCCGGAATTTAATGCCCAATTTGTGGATCGTTTTTTTGCGTAAGAAGAAACAGAAATCATCAGAAAGCACGATTTGAAAGGGAAATCTAAAATGAATTCTAAATTCGATTTCGTTTAAATTATTAAATAGAAATCATAGTACAAAGTCGAAGAATTTATGAAATTGATACAAAATTTCAATGAAATTACTTGATATTAAAAGGATAAAGAATTTTAAAATCAAATGAAATTAAAGAATCTTAAAAACTATAAAATAAAAAAATCTTAAAATCTAACTTTTGAAAACTCCTTCAAAAAAAAAGTCTAATAATCTCATTCGTTTTCAAACATAGTAAAAATGATATGATAAAATTGTAGGTACTTCGTTGTCACACAAAAATGAATTGAACAAACGAATCAACTAATTCAGTGTCATTTGTTCAATTCATTCTTTTCTGCTCAGAAAACTTGGCCATTATGGCATAAGAAGCCTTGGCTAATTCAGCTATTTGTTATAATCATGAGACATGGAGATGCACTGGACTGATATCAAATTTAGACATGGATGACTCATTCAAAAAAAAAAAAAAGTGTGGCAGTCAATTAATCTACTGACTCAAAAAATGTAGAATTAGTCAATTCAAGGGAAATCTGCAAAAGTTAAGCAAAATTTATTTTTTTCAAATTCCAAAGAAAATAAAGATTTAAAATTTTGATGATTAAAAAATTAATTAATTATGAAAAATTGAAGAGTTTTTTTTTTTTTTTTTTGGAAACAAATGGTATTACTTTGGTATCATAATTAATGATATCGAAGGTAGATGGAAAGATGAGATGATGGATGACCTTTGAAGGAAATGAAGTTAAGAAAATTTCTCGAGAAATGAAATAACAAAAAGGTAGCAAAGAAAAAGGAAAAGGATTATCAGTTCAATAGGTGAAAAGAGAAAGTAACAATCAAGGAAGCAAAAAGGTCATAGTGGACAACGAACAGTTATCATGATGCCTCATCCATCTTTTTCCTTTTATGGCTGGATAATTCGAGTATGGTTCAAAGGTCATCCTTATGGCTAAAGCATAAATGCAATGGACAGATGGACAATCATTTATTAAAGAATGCAGCAAAGCATATCTGAACGAGCATGCTAGACAACCAATTTAAATCTTTAAAATTGATACTAAAAGTTTTAAAACTCAAAGTTACAAAGTCTTTAAACATTTTCATATTTCTGGTTAATTTTCTGATCAAATGATAGTTAATTAGTGAATTGAAAGATCACTATCAGTGATATGATAATTTCGAGCATCACTGTGCGAATGAACTCCTAAACATTTTGCAAATCTGCGCTTATTCAGCTTACTGGCAGCATTTTTATTTTAAATTTAAACTGCTAGTAAAATGAAATTAACGAGGAACTACTAATTTACTTTGTTTTTTTTAAGATTTATTTGCAAAATTTAATCATAACTTTTGCCTTAAATAACATAGTCGGTTGAACAAACTATACTCAAAATGAATATTCAAAAGAAATTGATTTACATTGCACAAGTTCAAAACTCTACTTACAAATTCATTTGGTTACTTCATTCAAGCATTTCCCACCATTTGACTTCAAGAATACATCTTGCAACATCACAATTTGTATTAGCTCACTTTTACAAAGCATACAAATACCCTTGCAATCAAACCGTCACACAATCCCTTTCCGGCAAATGGACCTGTTCGTTTTCATTTCGTCTCGCTAAATCATCCTTATGCTATTTCAGCGTAGCGAAGTTTGATATGTGACAAACAACCCGAATTGATAAACGCGTGGCCATGGCTCTCATTGGC